AAGACTGATTAAGTAGAACAACTAATTGTGCAGTTAGTATTTGTCGCTATCTTTACTTAGTTTTTTTGAATCTATTTTACCATTAGTTGATGCAACAGCATGTTTTATCAAAATTAAAAACTTTGTTAAACTGCAAAATGACACATTTACAAAGGCAGATGAATCATCTTCAAGCCATTATTTCGTGAACTTCAAACAACTTTTCATTATACTTCATCTTATTTTTTGTATGACTAACAATTAAGACAAACAATTTTTTATTCAATCCTAAAAAAAATTCTTTTATTCTGTACAGCAAGCATCTTACCTTTTTGTTGCGATAAAAGAAGTAAAAAGCGGAAAAAACATTCTTTATTTAAACAGTCAAAAACTGTCTTTAGACAACGAATTTTGCATAAATTACGCTTTCTAGCATCTTCTAATAATAATTTAATTACGTCGTTGCGTGTGATCATCTGCAGCTGTTGTTATACTTAACTACTAGAGTACAGAAAGTTTTAAAAATCTATTTTTTAGGTTTTCTACGTAGAATTTACTCGTATTATTATTATCACGAAAAAACTAATAGTGGAGAAGCTATGTGAAGTATGTGGCAAGCATAAGTTTGAGAAAAACAATAAACTAAATAGTCTTCGACACTTTTTTTTATTTTAGTTTATTTACGGTTACCACTACTAATGCTGTAACTGCAGTCATGTTATCATTGTTATAACACTTTGTTGATATTTCCACAAAGACCTTGCTCGTCTGAAGTCAGGGTAAGCGACTATGTCTAATGCTATTATGATACTAACGATTTGCTAAGTGCTGCTTCCATCTCAAATATTCATTTGTTATTTCCAATGTGTAACTATCGTGTTTTATACTTTTTTATTCTCTAACTAAGAACCAGTTTTTGAAATAAAAGCTGTCGAGAAGAAATATTTTTGCTGCAACAGCTATCCGTGATACAGTCACAAAACATAGTTGAGTTCACTTCTGCGACTATTTTCTGTTTATTTCATTCACCACCATTCCTAATACGCTACAACTTGTCTGGTAAAACTTAATTTTTTTGATACTTACTACTTTTTTACTTAGTTGTTCTGCATAAAACAAAATATAATAATTAACTTTTTTAAAAACAATTATTCCTTATTTTTATTATTTCTCAAACGAACCAAACGAAACCTCAAAGTGAGCTAAAACAAACTCTCACATAGAAATATAAAAAATAAATCAAGCTACTTGTCAAGTGGTTCCAAAAATTGTGAATTTATTAGAGTGTCGGTAAATTTACTGTAGGAAGTAAATCTTTGAAGTAGAGAGGTAAACTAAAAGCTGTTATTTCCTACTCTCGTAAAGATAGAAACTGAGAAAGCTTTTGAGTGTTTTTCATTAGAAAGAAAACGAAACTTTCTCTTACAGTTATCACCGTTAAAGACCTGCTTTGTAAAACTATTATTCTTTCGTCACTTCGGGCAGATTTGCATTTTTCAATTTTAATGTAACTGGTTACTGCTCGTTTTACCTGTGTTAGCTGTTCTGAACTCTAGAATCATATGTAAAATTTTATTTCCAGAATACTTTTTATGTTGGGTAAACTTCTAAACTGTTACTTCTTAGAAGAAACTAACAACTGACAGATTCTAAACTAAAATTAGAGGTCAACAGGCGTAAAGTACCCGGTCTTTGTCTCAGAAATATAAAAACAGATAAGTTTGTTACTGTTCTTCCAATTTTAAATATACGCTCTTTAGCCTTTTTCCAGCTAAGCAAACCTTCAGTGTCCCTAATTTCCCTAACAAAACTTTTCTGTATTTTGGATAAATTTGAAAACTACCATTTGCAAGCTAAGCCTTCTTCAAAGTAGAAAGAGTTGAAGCAGAAAGGTATGAAATGTAAATTATCAACGTGAAATACAAAAACAGATCTTGTCAATGATGTGAAAATGCGACAGTCAAACAATGAGGATTTGAATAAGTAGAATTTTCTAAGATAGCGATAGTAAAGACAACTAGAATAATCCTTACATATAGCTTTTCTCAAGGTTTCTAAAAATTTGAGACATTTGCTGTTACTATAATAATGATGTTAAGTCATTTGCGAAAAATGTGTATCTTCAAAGTAACACTTGCAAATTCACTGCTTGATTCACTTCGTTGAAAATTTTTATTCTCCTTTCAAAATATAAAATACTAAAATACCCACGCTGGCAGTTTTTCAGTTGTTACTTGAATACAGTAACACTGCACTGGTGTTTCTTGATTGAAAAAAGAAGCTACCCCTTTTGTCGCCGCATTTCATTGTTATGCATCTTGAAAGACGCCGTTTGTTTTCCGGTTTGTACTAATTTGAATGTTTTGTCTTTGTAATTTGCACTTCCAGCCTAGGATAATATTTTTTCATTTTTCTATCAGATCTGCAGCCTTCTTAACGGGATTCTCTAAAAAATATTGGCGAATCAAAGAAGCAAAAATGAAGTTCTTGAATTTAATTTGTCATGTCACAGTTTTCCGTTTTTTTTTTTTTTTTGTCAGCCTTTATAAAAACCTATGCTACTCAGAAGGCACTTTTTCTTCTTCTTTGTTCTCTAAAAAAAATTTTATTTTGTTTCTACTCTCCGCCATCGATCGTATTTGTACATTTTTCTTCGTGCTGCAGGAGAGTGTCGGTAAGAAGACATATGAAAATTAATATAAAACTTTCTTCTTAATGTCATCTGGCAAAGATTTCCTTCAGAAATGCAGAACCAAAAGTACAGTATGTTAAGCAAGTCAGGGTGCAACAGCGAGTAATTATCGTAAATAAGGCTTCTGGTATATGGTGTATAATGTGCTATTGCTGCTATGCGTAATTTTAAGTCACTTTGGTTTTACAAAAGCTCAAATGCTGCCTTAGCGAGAAGTGCGAAATTGGTACTTAAGTATTTCAAGATTGCAGGTGTAAATGATTACTGAGAGGGACCTATTAAAAGTTTCATCGAGTTTAAAAACATAATAAGGCAGAGCAGACTTGTTTCCACAACACCTCTACTGCCTTAAAGATTCAGTTTAGCTACTGCATTCAGTCACTTCGATTGATGGTTGAATATAGCACTAACAGCTTGATCTCTTTAAAATGTTTTTGGCACTTTTTACGGAGTTCATTTAGTATTTTGCTCTGGGTGACAATATTTTTCGGCCTTCTTTTTGTTGTCGACTAAGTTTGTGTGAAAATTGGGATACCTAGATTGCCATACTCAATTATTGTTACCATAATTTCTTAGGTGGTAGTTTTTAGTGTAACACTTGCAATATTTTGACCGATAAAGTAACTTCACTCACTTTATTGGAATAACAGAAAAAAACTAGCAAAATTATGACCCGGATTCTCATAATATTGCTGACAAAAAACACAAACTACTGAACACTTAAGAACATGGGGGAAGAAGAAAAAAAACAAAACGAAGAAGGGAAAAGAGGGCAAAATCAAAAACGGAGTCTAATTAATAGCACTAGAAAGTTTAGATGTTGGGCAATTGATAATTGATTACGGTTCAAAAATCACTCATTTCAGGCAGATACAGTCACTTCAATTGATGGTCAAATATACGAAACAATAATGCAAAGATTTGTAGAAGGTTCTCAAGCATTTTAATTCGTAATTACTCAGCAGTGTGTACATTTTCAATGAAATACACGATGTGAACATTACTTTTTTAGTTATACAAATAAATTAAATTTTATTTTTCTTTTTGTTCCTTTGTTATCCTTTTTTATTTTTCTATAGATCAAATATCTATTGTTTTCATACAGTAAACTTGCTCTCTATAAAAACACAATGGCAAAACTTTTGGCGCAAGTAGAGAAAGAAACAAAAAAAGACAAAAAATAACAATCAAAGCTAGCACGTCGCTAAGAAAGCTTCTTATGCCTTTTTTTTTTGTCTGAAAACTGCAGCATAGATCACACTTTTCTTCCTGGATACACTTTCATCGGTTCATCAATCTTTTTACCAGCCGCTGTTTTTGCAGCAGCTGGCTTCGGTGTCGTTTTAGGTGCCGCTTTCGTTCCCGTCTTTGTTGTTCGTTTTGGTTTTTCGGTGGTATCACTGTCAGTCTTCTTGACCGTTTCAGAGGCTTTCTTTTCAGATTTATTTTCAGCAGCCTGGAACAGATCAACGTTTCATTGTTAATCTGACAAGACATTTCCTTCTGAACAAAAACATCAGCATTCTTCAAGCGTAGGAAAGAAGAAGAAAATAATAATTAAGAATGGTAGTTTGGATTTTACTGACAGCTACCGTAACTGTTAATACCGGTCAACAGTCGCCACATTTGATTCACCATGCAAAAGACGAAATTTACTCAAGTTTTTCAAGTAGCTCAACACTTGCTTCTTTGAAAAGCCTGAGCGTTGCCGAACCAATGTTGCAGCAAACTGCGCTCGCTTAGAAATCAACTTAGGTCATAGACAGAGAGAAGAATAATTGAGAATTATCCTCTCTATGACACATAAAATTGGTATTCTGGTTGTTGTTGCTGTTGTTGTTGTATGTGCATGTTAGAACGAAGGTTCAGGCCGCGGCAGCAACAAAGAAGAAGGGACGCCTGTTAACGCAGACGGCCTCGAGATGCTCTTTTGTACCATAAAGCAAGAAGTAAATAAGTAAAGAGTAAAAATTAGTTGGATGATCGCATTTGGACAAAACTGGACAGTGTTCACAAGATGACTGAAGTTATAAAAAAATGAAAATTTTTCTAGTCTAAGAAAAATTTAAATGCTTCTTATAAATCTGCTGCATGCTATGTTCTACATAATGAATATTTAATCATTCACTGTCTCTTAACCGTTAGTCATTTAACAGCATAAGATTGAACATAAATTAAATCGTGCATTTTTACGGAATATATCGACCTGATTTATTGGTTGGTCAGAAATTTCTTTCAAAAAATTCTTCATCTGGGAAAATTTTTATTTCGTCAAAAAATTTATGCCTTTAATCAAAAAAAAAGTTTTTACAGGTCGATATCTGTCGATCTAAACAACCTTTTTAGCACCGGTTGTCTTCGACTTAGTGGTTGAAGCTACTGGTTTGCTATCTGACGGTTTCGAGGAGCTTTCGCTCGTGGATTCCACTTGCTTGGCTGTTATTGCAGCTTTTTCTCCCGAATCCGATTTGCCTTCCTTCCCTGTAGAATCTTTTCCATCCTGCACGACAGAATCCTTTTCTGATAATGTCTTTTTAGCTTTACTTATAGGTTTTTCTTCAGCCTTCGCTGATGAAGCTTTGTCACCGGCTATTTTCTCGCTAGTTTTTTCAGCTTTCGCTGACTGCACTTTCGCAGAAGCACTTTTTACGCTGGTTTTTTCTGTTTTCGCTGATGGAGTCTTCCCAGAATCAACCTTGACGCCAGTCTTTTCAGCTTTCGCTGATGGTGTTTTCTCGGAAGAACTCTTGGCGCTAGTTTTATCTGCTTTCGCTGATGGCGCTTTTACTGAAGCACCTCCTGCACTAGCCTTCTCTGTCTTTGCTGTTGAAGGTTTTTCAGTGGCACTCTTCTCGGTACTTTTACCAGCCTTAATTTTCTTCTCACTACTATCTTTTGAACCTTTACTTTTAGCTTCCGACGCATTTTTAGCTTCTTTTTTTGGCTTTACCTCACTTTCTTCCTTCTTCTTGGCTGCTTCCTCTTGTGCTTTCTGCGCCGCTTGTCGTCTCAATATACGTCCTAAAAGGTTTAGTAAGTACAATCAACTGACAGCTTTCATTACCAAATTTCGGTTAAACTGACAGATGATTTTAACAATTGTGCTAGCTAACGGTAAATATACTACCAGATTATGGAACAAAACGGATCAATGAATGGTTAATCCTCACTAATTTCGCCGTTACGTAACATAGCATTTTCGATTTTGTGCCTGCCCTCAGGCAACCGAAGGTTTATTGAAACTTTAATAAGCCCTTTGTTCTCATAAATAGCATCTATTATTTCTTTTTCGGCCACTGTGGAAAAGGTCGCTCCCTAAAAAAGCTTAATTGTACTGTGCTTGCGACAGCGTCACAGCTGTAAATTACAGCGATTGCCAGTATTTATTGTCTGCGTAGTAATCAGTAAACTAATTGAATTATAAATTTAGTAATTATCTGTTTTAAGATATAAATACGACTAGAAATAATAAAGTTCCAGAAAGTATCTATATGTGTACTACGTAAGCATTGTACCTGATTGACTGCTTTAACTTCTTCAAGCGTTTGATTTTTCAAAGCAGCTTTAAACAATTTTCCAAAAAAATCTCCTCCTAAATAATTGGTTTCCAAGTTCACAGCACGTAACGTTTGATTGTTTTCAATCACTTCCAGCAAAGGCTGTAAAGTAGATTATAAAATATATAATACTAAAGCAATTCCAATTAGACTTCTTTAAGTAACCTACCTTGCAATAATTTATGTGACCTAAACTTATGTACTTTAAAAATTTCAGCATCTTCCTCGGCTCATAAAAAATCAATGAAATGTAAGTTCATATTATTTAACTAGCAGTATGTTCACCTTAAATACACCAAAAACAAAAAGTAAAAAACTTGAAAAGAAGCGACTAAAGCAGATAAGTAAGTAAGCTTGAAGAAGTTAATTTTAGACAAATAAATATCAGTGAGAAAATGACAAAAGTGACCTCTAGATGCCCATCATAGAGTCCCATGTTTGCAAGTGACAGTTTCTCAAGATACGTATTATCCTTGATTGCTTCAATTAACCTCTTAACTTGAGGTATCGGAGTACGCTGAATATCGATGGCACTGTTAAATTAATGCAAGTCATTACTCAATACCTTTAGCGCTAAGACAATCTATTCAGATTGCCCAACGCAAGGAGGATTTGACCCTTAACTATACAATAAGAAAAACCAAAATAAAGAGAAGTTATGAATAAAATAGCTTTTCCTCCCTGTTGCTTGATACAATTTGGTGCCGTTGAAAGAAGTTCTTCATATTATTATGCTTTAAAAAATCTGGACTAACTAACTTTCATGTTGTTTAGGTTAATTTCTTTTAATGTGGGATCGTTTCGCTGTAACCGTTCTATTGAGGCGTCAACATCAGTATCGTTGTCAGGCTCAGTGGGCCTAGTCTGTGCGGGTAGTGATGACTTTACTGGTTCATTATAATTAGTTCCCCCCAGAATCTGTTCTGCCTCTTCCCAACTGATCATTCGATTTTCACTCATCATTTCTAAATGTAATAAACTAGTTGGAAAAACACAAGCCT